CCTGATGGCACAAGATACACTTCAAGACATTCAGATTGGGCTTTGTTCAAATCAATTAAGATATGTTTAGAAAATAGTCATTCAAGGGTGAGTGTTATAAAATCATATGTTAGGTGGTAAGGTGTAACAAATACACCAACTCTTAATATTTTATTATAAATTATATATGTGAATGACTATTTTGCCCTTGATATAATTGTATTATTACGATTGTGACATCAGAAGTTTTCCTATAAATAGGAGCTTCATTTGTAATGAAAAGACAACCAAGAGAATATCTCTCTTTATTCTATATATTTTTTCTCTGTAGTTTTTTATAACTGTAACAATCTATTCTCATGAAGTTCCTTGTTTTCTTCTGAATTTTTCTCATGCTCTGCTCTGAAATTCTGTGCAAATATTGAAATATTAGGGAATATATATATATATATATATTAGTAATTCCTCGTTTTCTTCTTATTTTTTCTCGTGATTTGCTTTGAAAATTTGCATTTATGCTCAACAAATATCCTTTATTCCCGAATAAGCCGAGTCTAAGTAGCATTCTCGTACATTTTGCGATTCTATGTCACAAATTTGTATTTTTTTCTCATTTGGCTTGGACTGACTTCGAATCTAAAAATAAGTGATGATTCTTTAAAATGCATTAATTATATTTTAGTATGCTTTCCTATTCCAGAAATGGTTTATAAGGTTTTTTTTTTTTTTTTTTTTTTTTTTTTTTTTTTTTTGAAGTGGTTTACAAGGAATTAACCTTTTCTCAATCTTTATGGTCTTTCTTTTAAAATTGTTAAAAATTACTAATTTTAATTTTAAATATATTTTTAAATTTAATAATTTTTGTGTTCATTATAAATTTTTATATTTAATATATTAACTTTATTATTTTTGATGAGTTTCGAGTTGACAGATATATTGTTTATACAAAATAAGTAAATAAATGTATGTGCGGGTATCTTTTGCACCTCAATATATGCATGCATTTTGTTTTTCACGTTGTCTTATAAAAAAAACTTCTTTTTCACACCACAACTCACGAAATAATATGTGATATAATAATTGCATATCCAAATTAACTGCATAATTAATAATTATTTGTGATTTTATTGCATATAAACTAACGCATATCCAAATTGGACGTAGAGTTAATAATTATGCGTAATACTTTCTCTTAGATATCGCATATCCTAATCTAGCATCGCATCTTTGATAATTATGCGACATTGTTTCGCATAGTTTACGACTTGCTTATCCAAACTGGATGCATAGTTAACAAGTATGTGAAACAATTTCGCATATTATGTAAGCTCATATGCAAATCTAAAGTATAATTTACCATGTGCGAAAAAGTTTCGCAAATTAAGTTATTGCATATCCAAATCGAACGTAGCATATTTTATGATTATACGACATTGTTTCACATAGTTTACAACTCACATATCTAAATATATAATGCACTAACATTAATGTGTAACACGTTCGCATATTCACGAATTGCATATCTAAATTGAAAATTGCTTAATATACGACTATCTGCGATTTTTTTGCACATTCATCTGACGAATTGCATATACGAAGAAAATTGTAGCGCCCCATTTATTCCGGATTATTTATGGAATTATTATTTATTTTATTTGTCCATATTTATTTTATTCGTGCTCGATTATTAATTTCTATTGTGATTATGTGCTCGTAATTGTCTATATGGTCTTATTAGCCCGATAATTCTCGTTTAGACTTATTAATTAATTAGATTTTCTTGTATATTTAAAATATTAAGTCACATTATCCTGTTGTATTATTAATCTTCAACCGTGTTAATCGGAAATTCGTGTTATCCCGTTTTCTTATCGAGCTTTGAGTTTATTACTCGGCCTTTTCACTAAAACCTTATTTTTCCGGCGCAATTGAAGTCTATATCCTTTCCATGGTGATTTATTTAAATTTCAGCCCAACAAGATTAATTTCTCTAGCCCAAGTGGGGAACACTTTGGCCTAATTTAATTGTTTTATTTGGCCAGCTGTTGAAATTATTTGGCATCGTGCAATTGCGCTGATATTTTTCCCTCTCCTCGTTCATGCAACGACCGGGTCTTCCCCTTCAAAAATTTGTTGTGATTTTTCTCACGTTCGTTTATCCTCACGTCATATTAAAATCGAGCTCTAGAAGGCAGAGACTCGTCCTGATAACGTGTTATAAAACTAGAGAGAAATATATAAAATAGAGATATTTTGTTGGTTGTTTTTTCATTACAAATAAAGCTCCTATTTATAGGAAAACTTCTGATGTCACAATCGTAATAGTACAATTATATTAAAGGCAAAATAATCATTTACATATATAATAGTCATTAACATATATAAATTTATAATAAAATATTAAGAGTTGGTGTATTTGTTACACCTTACCACCTAACATATGATTTTATAACAGTTACAAAATATATTTCCAATTGCATTTTGATTTATCCACTACAAACTCATAATAGAAAGCTGTAAATCCTTCCAAAACAACTGATCACTTTGAACCACAAGTGTGCCAGCTGGTCCAATGGATGAAACCTCTCCTTGCAAGTGCTTCTGTTGACAATACCGTGCCTAATCCTATTGCTTTTGTTTCTTCTAATATATTCCCAAAAACATTAGAATTAGGGCTGAGCATGGGACTCGGAGAATTCCGAACTGTTCCGAAAATCGAAGCGAAATCACTCCAAATCGAAAAATAACCGTTGACCGTTTGACTTTCTCCGAACCGAACCGAAAAAATAATTGTTATGGTTCTAAAGATTTCACAAATATCCGTACCGAGAACCGAACCGAACCGGCCCGTACTGTACCGCACCGAAGAACCGAAATTAAGAACCGAATTATAACTATAACATTATATGTGTTATTAATATATTTTATGTCAACTTTGATTCTATATAATATAGTAATAAATATTAACCTTCACTTAAATTTAATGCTTAGTAATACTTGATCTACAATTGAAATTTTTCTATTATAAAATAATTATTTAAAATAATATGAAAATTTAAAGATTATTTTTTAAAAAGAAATATTATATTTTATATAAATTTTAAAATTCAATATTAGTTGCACAAATTTAGTTATAACTACAATTTAAAGTTACTTGTAAAGTTAAATTTCAAAATAAAATCTTTTACTGATGAATGTTTGTTTTATTAAAGCATATAAAAATTAAAAAACTAAAATTTAGAGTTATTGATTTCAAAATAAAATCTTCAATATGATGAATTATTGTTGAATGTTATTTTTTTAAAACATATAAAAATTAAAATATAACTAGGTAGTCATTAAAAAATAATTTAAAAATAAAAAATAAAAAATCTGCGAAAACCCGAACCAAACCATACCGAACCGAACCGTCCAAATAGTCTCGAATACCGAATCGAATCGGAAAATAAAAATCTCCTAATCGAACGGAACCAACTTTTTGGTACGATTTCGGAAATCAAATTTTGGGATCTCCAATTTTATATCTCCGAACCGTACCGACTCGCACTCACCACTAATTAGAATACACAAGCATTTATCCCCAATACGAACTTAAGGATAAACTATAAACTTTTAATCCCCATTACATATTTTATAATAAATCCACCATCGGACCCTGAACAGGATCTATACATCTAGATCAGAATATATATCTTTAGAGAGCTCCATCGACTTCAATTTAGATTAGCTACGAGAAGATGTACACAAGACCTTAACATGGAGTTCTTCAAACAGAACATCTGGAAAACTTAAAAAGTGTTCGCAAAAACAATTCCAGAATATCACGACACCATCTAATTGTGTGAACTTGCCAAGATAAGCAAATACTAAACAACGATGACTCGAGTCACCATCATGAAATTTGTTATCCATACAAAAAGCATACCTTTCAATTACAAATGAGATAACAAAGTTTACCATAAACAATTCAGTGTAATCCTCGAACACCCTTTGCAAAATCCTGAAATATTAGCCTTAGCAGTTAATTTCCTAATATTCTCAAAATCAAGCGGATGCTTCCAACCTGGTGACCTGAATATAGCTTCAAGTAACAAAATATGGATAGTTAAGGAAACAAACTTAGGGGGCGGTGATTTCTCGAAGTGCCCAATTGCTATTCAAACACAAATACTGAAAGTATTAAAAGCCAACCCATTTGGTTCAGGGTAATTTATAAATACAAACAATTATATGGAGGTACATTTGCAGTTTCATTTATAGCAGGTCATTATTTGCAAGTAACCCTACAATAATCACTATACTACAAAGAAGCATGAAAGTAAAATTTACTCTTCCAAAGACTCGAGGAATACATATGATTTCTAAAACAGTCCCCAAAGCCCCAAATCAAACTAGAATAATCAAACCACAATGGGCAACTAACAATAGTTCCATTACATTTATCAATGATAGCGGCAAAACCCATGTGACCTCAAGGAAAAGGAAAATAAACTGGATGAGAAAGATTTACCCCCAAGCCGCTCGAGCTTCACGTAATTGCAACAGAATATCTACATGAGATCTTATTAGTGTTCAGTCACTTGCCAAATAAGCAACGCAATGACAAGCCAAAATCACATTGCAGGGCCTTAGTGCCATAGAGAAACGGAACAGATCACACAAGAACGTTCAAACAAACCAGACAAAAGAAGTGAGAATGAATAATCATATAAAACTAGTGGCTTAAGGACAAAACCACACCTGTAAAGCACAAAGCAAAAGTACTAAAACCCGCATAAAGTAGAGTTTATGACAACGAATACCTACCTCGACCTTTTTCTCCTCTAATTATATCGGTGATAGGAGATTTTGTACAGTCTCAAATAGAGCTGTGAGAAGAGAAAAACATTTTTACTCATCGTCAAATGTAACTTGAAAAGAGACTCCAAACCACAATGAGACATTAGACATCGGTTGTTCATTAACAAAGAAGGGGTGTCTACCTCTTCAGCATTCAGATATAATTATAGACAAAAAATGCTCTAACGTGCACGTCCGGGGCTCCGACGACGACCTTGCCTGACTGGAGAATGTGACCTGCTTCTATCACGCTCCCGATATCTATCCCTACGGCTTTCTCTCCCATTACGAGACCTGCTGCTGTTTTTTCTATCCAGTTTTCCCCGACTGTTATCCCTTTCTCGGTATCTGTCATAATCCCGATCACGATACCTATCTCTGTCAGCCGAGCTGCTTCTTTGTCTGCTCTCATACTCTTTCTCTCTCAGCTTTCTTCGTTCTTCGGCTTCTTTCTCTCTGGCCAGTCTACCTTCTTCTCTTGTCTTTTCACTGGCTTCCTGGCAATTGATAGAAACTTGCAAGTGAACAACTATTACAGAATACAGGTATAAGAGGTCTAGCCTAATTACAAAGATCCCTAAAGATTTTTCAAATGTAGAACATAAATCGTAAAGGTCCACATTCACCCCCACTATAACCCACCAACATAGAGCCTAAAATCTGTAAAGGAAAAGGGGATAATATAAAAACAACTAGTGAGATTTACCTCAGTAACAATAACAACCAAAAAAGAAAAAGAATCATATCTAGTAAAATAATGAATAACCCTTTTAAGGTAGGTAGTACATTGGAAAATTGGATACTAGGGCCCGGGGGTTTGGACTAGGACTACTTGTTAAGTAAAAATATGAACCTCAGTGTGGTTATTTATATTTCTTAGGCTGGTATTTTCCTTGCAAAACTGAACCCTTAAGGGGTACCAAAAGGGCCTACTTGTGAGTCATACACCTTCAGGGATGGTTATTTGCACTTTTGAAAGATAAATGTGTTTCTGTAATAATATATCTCCTGTAATAAAACTATGCCTCAAAAGTGGTTTCTGTAATTAATCCAAGATAATCATTTTATCACCTTATACTCAGCCAGAAACTCCCGGACCATGCCATAACCCATATGCTGCTTGCCAGCAACATGCGACTGAGTCCTTTCGACAGCATCGTTTGCTACTAGGAATGAACCACAAACTTCACATAGCGCCATTTTTTTCTCATGTGCCATCATCAGCAGCTTATCTTGTTGCGGTTGCTGAGTCAGGGTGGTCTTCTCAATATTAAGCATTTCAACCTGAAAACGCACAGTTTACCACTCAGGTATAATTTATTAGCACCACAGACGTTTATATAATTCAAAAGCATGACATGAGCAGAAAAAGGAGATTGAAAAAAAATACCTTTCTCATAAGTGCCTCAGCTTCATCAACCTTACCTGCTTCACCAAGGGACTCGACTTGTTCAAGCAGGCTCTTTATCTTTTCTTCCAACACCGACAATTGCTCGGCTTTTTCAACAGAAATTGGAGGAGGTGGGGGAACTTCAACATCTTGTTCAAGTCGTTCACGACCACGCCTAACTCTTCTATCTAAATCTGAGACCTAAAAAAAAAAAAAAAAGAACATTAATGGGCATTAGGAACAGAGATCATTTTAATGGAAATGTTGAACTTCAAATTCGTTAAAAATGGAAATGTACCAGTCTTTCGCAGAAGTGAGCTAGTTCAGCTTCAAACTTGGGGACATATGAATCATGTCTAGGGGACTTCTCAAAACTACAAAGTACAAAGAGAAACAACATCATGACAATGAATCCTGAAAAGAGGCTTTACATATATCCATGAAGCTAGTCAACCAATTTACAGATAATGCAACATGGGCCACAACTTCGACTCCTCAATGATGAGAAACTGCTTAAAAACTGTACCCTGATATAGTACTTATCCCAAACCATCAAATGAAATCCATCTTTACAATAACAAAAAGGTAACATAGGAGCAGTAAATAAGATTGTATTGTCTGGGTGCCTTCTCAGAACTAAAACTTGAAACAATAACCTCGTCTAAGTTCTAAATAACCTTCCAAGTATATAGTATACTGAAAATGCATGATTATTAGTGATACCATGGCAACTTTTCCAATGCCTCAGGACAAAAAAAATATCTGTTACATTATTTAAAAAAAAAAAAAAAAAGGAAGAAGAAGAAGAAGAAAGATGCATGAAAATGATCTTAACCTTCACTAACAATCAAGCTGATGGACATGAAAAGAAACTATGAATGCAGTCTATAGACGTATTATACAGATTATCAGATATTAATAAATTACCCTACCATATTACATTACTAATAATGAAAAGGTAAAAAAATAAAATAAAACGTATAAGCAACGAATTCTTCAAGATATTAAGCCATGCTAAGATTAACACGAGTAAGCTGCTTTTCAGTTAGAATATTGTTAATAGTAACAACCTCAACAAGGATTTCTGGAAGGACCAAAAGGCCCAAAGACAAGTTAACAACTCCTTTCCTATCATTTCCAAGTCTATGGAGATCTCTTGACAATTTATCACTCGGAACACCAAAACATAACAGTTTGTCATATCGAAGTCTCACGCCGCCTTTTACTACAACTTATAAAGAATGTACCCAGTAAATAGTTAGCATCTTAAAAGGTGATCCACCCTTTATTTATAAACAGCCGAGCTTCCAACTTCAAAGATGAAATATTCGAATGGAAGACAGAAAACAGAAAACACATCTCAATAGGCAGTCAATCTGACCCAAGAATATGCAACAGCAGTACTACGAAGCTAAGGCTCAAAAATAAAGTTCAAACTTGAATAAAAATAAAACATAATGAAACAAGAACTGCAGCTATATAAGCGGTTACTACCTTTCCTTCAACTTTACATCGTGAATTTTTGGGCACACACCTGATGCAAACGACAAAAGAATTTTAGCAAATTAACATACAAAGCACGTAAAACCTTTGGATGAATTTCTCACCAAGCCTATCAAAATGCTACGGTCATGGAAGAAAACACAATATTGCGATTGCGAAATAAACTGATCATCTTTCACTGGTTCACTCATCCTCTAAATGGCATATAACAAATTAAGAAGCTGAAGAAGAAAATGTATCAAAGTATTACCTAAGTCACTTCGTGTGTTGACAAACAAATCATGAGGGCAGAACCGAATCATGTAGCAACCACAGACATCCTTATCATCCCATTTAACTTCCCGATGCCCTTTTCTCTCTTCTTCAGTCAAATTACGTGCTGCAAAAATAACAGCAACAGTAATTATCAGTCTTAATTATCCCTGCCTAGTGTTACTGAAAATCACAAATAAAAAATTGTAGAGTATCACTAAAAAGATGAAGTGTAACATGAGACCGTGCTTCTAGAAATTGTTATGCTGTATTATATACAAATCTGAAGCTGGTATTTCAAAATATATATATATATATATATATATATATATATATATATATATATATTTGGAGCTCCACCGCCTCTAATTTGGCAGATATGCTAGTTCAAATCGTTTATCCAGATCTAAATTTCGCAGTCATAGATAAATCTCCTAAAGCCAGCTTTATGAGCTTAAGAAGTAAATCGAACAACAGTCAAATGACGAATACTAAAAAAAGACGGCAAGAAAACAAGAACAACTTGATTAAAGGGAACGTAACCTGAATCTCAAACGAACGAAAGTGCATGGTTCAATTATACAAAATTAGGGTTTAACGCAACGGAGAGTGGCTAACCTGAGCCCATGAGTTCGTCGAGCAAAGCTCTCTGGGCATCCATCTTCTCCGAGATTGGATGTGCCAATGAGCTGGATTCTCGATACAATGGCAACCAATTTGTATAGTGTGTTGAGAATAAGAGGAAAACTATTTTGTCATCGGAATGCTTGTGAGAGAAAGTTTTGTCGCTCTTGTGGTCCTTTTGGATTAGTCGGTTTCCTGTGGATCCGGAAACCGGAAGATCCCGGTACCAAAAAAAATACTATTTTCAGCCCGCAAGTTTTTACACCACCTGTTCAAGTTAATAGACTTTTTACATATGTAACAAATGTAAACAGATCGGAAAATTTAAAAATTTATAAATTATTGAATATTTCTTTGTAAACAAGGTTTTGGTTTGATTTGGTGGTGAGTCATCATCGCCACATACTACTAAGATAAATAATTTTAGATATGGATTCGATAATAATAAAAAAAATTACAAAAACAAAAATATTTTACCTCTCCATCATTGAAATTTATTTCCAACTACTTGGCTTCGGATTTTCTTTCAAATATACGAACAATCCTTAATGTCAGGTATAGTTGTTTTTTCGGGAAACTGAATTTTTAAAAAAAAAAAAACACTACACGAGTATGGCGGAAAAAATGAAATTAGTCGAATTCTATAGATTAGGGATTAAAAAAATGCTAAAAGATGTGGTAAATAATTTATGTAATTGAGTACTTATATAGCTGTCATAAGTATTTGTGTTAAATATGATATATGGTTCCAATTGAAAAAAAAAAATCATTCAAGGTTAGTAGTGTTTCTATTCGGTCCAACTTATTTTGAAATAAGATAATAATGAATATTTTAAATGTGATATATTTTAATATATGCTTAGATTTTTACTAACATAAAATAAGAAATGTTCGAATCCTTTAAGAATTGTTTTATCCGGAATTCTTTAAAATCATGTAACAAAATTCCAAAAGAACTTTTTGTAGATATAATTGAATCCGATATTGCAATCAAATATAAAATAAATTTGAAGAGTGATATATTTTTTGTTATAAGTGAATGTTCCCTAAAAATTTGGTAACAATGTATTAACTTTTTATTAATCGGTGACATGTGAAATTAAAATTCTTTGACATGAGGTTTATTTATTTAAATGCGTTTCTATGGAATAAATTTGATGATGTAGATTTATATTTATTATTCTCTCATAAGATTATTTACTTAAATAAGTTCGTTTATTGCTATCTGTACTTATATAATAAGGTATCATATTTACCAAATTTAGTAGGTTGAACTAAAACAAAAAAAACTTTATTTATTTGTCTTATTTCATATTAACATCGATTTTGTCAAAAAAAATCCCATAAAATCGGTGAAGTCCAAATTTGTATGTAAAGTCTATATATACTAAAAAAATGCTTATTCAAAATTTCTTATCTAATTCATTCTTCCCTTTATCTAATTCTTTCTTATTATCTAATTTTATGAAAAAAAAATTTGATTTTGTTCAATCCTCTAATTGTATTTGTATTATACCCCATAAAATCATTTTAACATAAAAAATCTAATAACATCCGATAACTAAAAAAAAAGTACGTAAAATCTTTACTAAAATAAAAAGGCTTTATATATTATTTAATTTATTATCTAATTGTATAGAAGTCTGTTCTGATTTTGTTCAAACCGATTTCTGTATATTCAGATTTAGACTTCTAATAATAATATTAACAGCAATATATATCTACTCTACCCATTATAAATTACAAATCTCAAAATAATTATTCGAATTATTTGAATTTTTGTTTTAATTTTGAAATTTGAAACGTATATTTTAATTTTTTTTTCGTGTATGTATTTAGATATTTTTGTACATGTTTAGTGAAATATATTTTTATTTTTTTTAATTATATTTTCAGATTTACAATTTGGTTTATTTATTCTACATATCGTGTATGTATTTAGATATTTACATTATTTATATATAAGTATTGTAAAACGTTTATTGAATATTGCATCTTATAGTATAATAATCCCCAAATCAATATATCTCGTACATCGCACAGGTCACTTACTATATATATCTCGTACATTTTTCATTATTCATTTATATAATTATAAGGCTGGATAAATGGCATTAAAATTGTGCACCCTGTGCATCGCACGGGCTTTGTAATAGTGTAAATTTGAATGGTGGATTTATCAAATAATATGTAAATCAAAATTTCGGATTACATTTGTTTTAATTTGTGTCATTCTATGCATGTCAATTACAAAGGACAAAAATTCTATAAAAGAATATCTCGATGTTTGTTTGATTATAGTAGCACAATGTATTTGTGAAACAAATAATACATTAAGTTTAATTTAATTGATTATAAGTAATATTTTAATTATAAATTAGAAAGAGAGAAAAAAGTTTAGCGGCCAAGCATTTTTGTAAACCAAATTTCTCTACTAATTATTCAAATAAATTTGAGAGAAACATGGTGAGCCGGATTTATTTACAAACTAAGTTCTCGACCAACCAACCAAAACTCTAATTTTAAATGATTTAAAATATTAATAGATACCTTTACAAATAGAATCGGATGTTAAGCAATTTTTTCATATAAAATTTGTACTATAAATAATTTGAAATGTCGCAAAAGAGTATACATAATTTATACAATAAATAATTTATCATAATGCAAATCGGATATATTAAACACGTGAAGATCAAAAGCCATTAAAAAATTAAATTTAAATCGGATTACCAAAAGAAGTAAGTCAGAGGCTTTGATTATTTTTTAACAACTTTCTGCGAATGATTTTTTTCCATCAACCTCTTCCAATATTTATAAATATGGATATAAATTTTTGGAATATAATAATTTTTTATAAATGTCTATATATATTTTTTTTGTTGTAGGTCCATGTTTCCTAAAGATTAGGTAACAATTTATTGGCTCTGTTATTATCCGGTTAAGTGAAATCAGTTGCCCATGTTCATTGAAAGTCTGTGATATGTGATTTATTTTAATTTAAATTGATGTAGAATTATATGTATCATTTATTTAACTGATTATTTAATTAATATGTTTGTTCAACTTTAAGTTATTTTGTATGTAAAATTTGAATGGTGGTCTTTTAATTGGCCACCTAATATGACAACCAAAATATTCTATTGCATTTATGTTAATCTATGTAAATAAATTATCCATGATGAAATTTTTCATATGCGTATTTTGATTTTCATGATTGAATATTTGTGTGAAACACAAATATTCATATCGAAAGTATCCTTTTCTCAAATTAGGGTTAGAGTGCAATTAGGGTTTGTGGTGCAGACGACTGAGTCAAGCTTACTCCTAGGGTTTGCGCGATTCTGGTTACGAAATAGATGATGGATCAAGAAGTTCTGGAGAAATTGAAGAAGTTCAAGCTATCTAATAAGGAAAGCTCAGGGGTTACGCTAGATCTAGCTGATGTCGAGCCGGGAATCAATGAATGTGCGAAAAGCTTGATTGGGAAAATTATTGGACAGAAGAAAGTGAAAGCAGGACTCTGGACAACGATGGGGGTGGTATGGAAGACAAATAGGCCATTTTCAGTTCGTATGATTGGAACAAACTTGTTCCAATTTATATTCCAGGATGAGACAGATAAGTAAAGGGTTCTAAAAGGAAAGCAGTGGACGTATGATGGTCAATACCTGTTACTAAAAGAGTGGGTCAAAGATGAAATTAGGTTTCGAGAACAAAAACTTAGAGTGTAGCTGTGGATGCAGATTCATAATCTTCCATTGCATTGGATGTCAGAGGAAGCGGGATTAGAGGTGGGCAGAACAGTGGGGATAGTGTTGGATGTGGTCATTCCGGCTACCGAAAGTGTGAATGGAAGATTGATCAGAGTTCTAGTTGCCTTGTCGGTATCTGAACCTCTACCAAGAGGTATGAAGATTAAACTAGAGAAGGAGGAAAGATGGATCGGTTTTAGGTATGAAAACCTCCTTACCTTTTGCTTCTATTGCGAGATGATTGGGTATAATGATAGATCTTGTGATACCAAGAGATTAGATGTTCAAAGGAAAATGCTAAAAACAGGACAGTATGGGGATTGGCTTAGGGGCCACTCAGGGGGTATGGGAGAGCCTAGAGAGAGAAGTTTGGGTAGCCCTACGAGGGTTAGACATAGTCTAAATCTAGCGAAGCAAAAGAGCCTAGCTCTGAGGGGGAATTTCTTAAAGAGAGTAATAAGGCTGAGTTGGGAGGTCAGAGATGGGTTATGGTGTCTATAGATAAGTCAGGTCAGATTGATGAGAATATAGGGAGTCACAAACAATTGGTTAGGAATAGTGAGAAAGACAAACAAAGTGAGAGAGCGAATAATGATAGAGAGGATAAGGTACTGGTACTAGCTCCTATAGAACTGGACACCAGTAAACATATGAGAGAAGGAGAGGATAAGTTAATAGAGGTTCCTGTAGGAGTGTTGAGTGATAAGGATTCTGTTAAAAATTTTAAAAGAAAACCTTTATGAGAGTAACTAGAAAAATGTCTGCTCATTTAAATAATAAAGAAAGTTGTGTTCAAGAGTTGGGAATGAGGGTGTCTAGATCTAAAGAAAAGATCTGAGGAAGATCATCTTAAAGATCAATCTCTTAATGTCTCTGACTTTAAAAAAACAAAAAAATGTTTCAAATGCTTCTGATAAAAAGGTGGTGGAGACCAGCCTAAACTGGTCCCCCAGGTCAAAATGAGAGCTATGGTGTGGAATTGTAGAGGTTTGGGAGGCCCCTCTACAATTTCCCAATTGAAGGCTAAAATAAGAGTCTACCTCCCTGATTTATTATTTTTGTCTGAAGTTAAGAAAAAATTGGCTTTTGTTAAAATAATTTGTAAAAACCTTAGGGTTGATGATAGGTGGTATTTTGTAGAACTTGAGGGTTTAAAAGGGGGTCTTCTTCTATGTTGATCTCCAAAAATTACTATAGTGAATATCTTTAAGTCTTCTTTTTATTTTGAGGTTTGTTTTTGCTAGAAGGTGTAACAGAATCCCTATGGGCTATTTTCATTTAT